CTGCATATCACAGGTTGTTAATGAGTCTTCCTCCAATCCTGATGCCACATTTTTCTTCAATACAGCTTCTTGGATTATTTGTTCAGCATACAGGTTGAATAAGTATGGTGAAAGAAAATAACCTTGTCACACACCTTTCTTAATTTTAAAACATTCAGTGTTCTTATGTTCTGTTTGAACAACTGCCTCTTGGTCCATGTACAGATATCTCATGAGCACACTTAAGTGTTCCGGAATACTCATACTTCGCAATGTTGTCCATAGCTTGTCATGATCCACACAATCGAAAGGCTTTCCATAGTCAATAAAGCACAGGCAAACATCTTTCTGATATTCTCTGATTTCAGCCAAGATCCATTGGACAAGTAGATAAGTATATATAGTGGGGACAACACTAGTAAGGTATGCTCACCATGGAAGGCTCAATCATTCAAGATCAAAAGGGCAACATTAACATAAGGACAAAATTGAGAAGGGATGGGAAGGAGGATGAAATAGAAATAGAACCACAGGGAAGAAGTGGAATAACTGTTGTTACATGGAGGAGATTGCAGTCATTGCGATGAAACAAAGTGCATTATTTGTTGAATGTAAAGCTGATGGCCTTCTAGGTAAACCTTCACTCAGTTCACAATAAAGTTAAAAGCATAGCCTTCAGTATGGATTACAATGTAATGTAAAGAAAACAACAATCCTCACAAATGGCCAAAAAAACATTATCATGATAAATGGAGAAAAGATTAAGTTTGTCAGGGGTTTCATTTTATTTGGACACAATTAATGCTCATTGAAGCAGCAGCCAAGAAGCCAAATGACATATTGCCTTGGGCAAATCAGCTGCAAAAGACCTTTTTAGAGTATTAAAAAGGTATCAAAATGAGGACTAATGTGCACCAGATAAAAGCCACAGTATTTTCAACTGTCTCATATACATGTAAAAGCTAGACCATGAATAAAGAAGACCAGAGAATTGATACACTTGAATCAAATGTTGGCAAAGAATACTGAAAGCAGCATGAACTGCAAGAATAATATTTAAAAAAAAAATCTTGGAAGAGGTATAGCCTGAATTCTCCTTAGCAGTGAGAATGCCAAGACATCCTCTCTCCTACTTTGGACTTGTCAAGAGTAACCAATTCCTGGAAAAGGTTACCATGTTTGGTAAAGTAGATGCTTGAGGAAAAAGAAGAAGATCCTCAACAATATAGATTGACAGTGGCTGCCAACAATGGGTTTAAACATAATAATCATGAGGATGACTCAGGACTGGCCATGTTACAGTCTGTCTGCCTAAGAGTCATAGCAAACTTGCAAGCACCTAACAACAACACACCATCTTCATGATCATTGGAATGTTTGAGTCCACTGTAGTGACTATGTGCCAATGCATCTCTGAGGCTTTCCCTTATTCTTGCTTACATTACCAATTATCATGGTGTCCTTTTCTTACATTACATTACCATGACCACCTTTTCTAGAGATTTGTGTTTCTTAATAAGGAAGTTGAAGTCTTAACATCCTCATTTGAAAAGAACATTCTGGTTATTGTTGTTGTTATGTGCCATGGAGTCGGTTCCGACTCATAGCGACCCTGTACAGGGTTTCCGAGGCTGTAAATCTTTACGTGAGCAGAAAGCCTCATCTTTCTCCCGCAGAACAGCTGGTAGTTTCGAACTGCTGACCTTGTGGTTCGCAGCTCGATTTGTAACCACTATGCTACCATAGGTATTTCTAAAACAGATTGATTCCGTTTTTTGGCATTCCATGGTATTTGCACTTCTGGTGTAGCTATGGATCAGCACTGGATTATGAGCAGTTTAAACCTACCAGCTTATTGGAAACCCTATACATGGTCACTATGAGTTGGATCTGACTCGACTGCACTTAACCATGCTATATTGAATACTTTTGTCTATTCGACAATTAAAATGCATACATTTTCTATTATCCTTTTTCAATATCCAGCTTTCACATGTATTATGAGGCAACTCAAAATACCATGGCTTGAGTCAGACACACATTTGCTTTGTGACATCTTTGCTTTTTAAAATTATAAAGCGGTCTTTTGTAGATTTGACCAATGCAGTATGCCTTTTGATTTTTTTATTGCAGCTTCCTTTGACATTATTGATCCAAGTAGAATGAAATTATGACAATTTCATTTTTTTCCATTTATCATGAAGTTATTTACCAGTCCAATAATGAGGATATTTGTTTTCTTCATATTCAGGTGTAATACATACAGAGGCTGCCTTCATTAATGAGTGCTTCAAGTTGTCATTTTCAGCAAGCAAGGTTGTTGTATGCATATCACAGGTTGTTAATGATTCTTCCTCCAGTCCTGATGTGTGATCATCATATAGTCCATCTTCATGGATTATACATTCCGTATACAGACTCAATTTAGATAAAAGAATACAAATATACCACACATCTTTTCTGGTTTTAAACCATGCAGTTTCTGCTTGTTGTTTTCAAAGAACTGTCTCTTGATCCAAGTACAGATTATGCATAAGCACAGTAAGAGTTCTGGAATTACCACTCTTCATGTTTTCCATACTTTGTTACCGTCCACATAAATACCTTGTGGAGACAATAAAATACAGGTAAATATTTTTCTGTCAGGCCCCTGTTGATGTGCAGCTGCAGCATATTTTAATACCTTGACCAAAATTTTGCTAGTACATGATATTGTTTGATAATTTCCACAT